CCTAGCGATGTTTTCCTTCACCTTTGATCAGTGATGTCTAAATAATCTTAAAAAGTACTTGTAGAAAATGTCACATTGGTAGTTGCCGTTGGTAGGTTTCGAACCGTGCGGGTTCGAAACCCACTCATGCATGAGAAGCAAGTTGAACCCGCAGGCTGGCAAGCAGGAGCGAACCCGCGGGCATCAACTGGTAAATAATATAAATCCGGCACAGCTGCGCCTTCGTCCAAAAAAAATTCTTAAAATTATAATTATAACAAATATCCCAGCATATTGTCTATCTTTAACACAGCGGGCAAATGTGATTATAACGAATCAATTTATCGCACTGGCATTCGCATGTAAAGCATCTTTAATACTTTCAAACGATCGCTTAGATAGACCGAGCATTACAAAAAATGAAATAAATTATTGGGTTATTAAAAAAATGATTTTAGGTTTGGTATTTATTTATGCAGTGGATGCAGGTGGCGAGTTGTCATTCGACTTTGAGTACTAAGGGGCCTTTGTCCAGCAGTAGACGTCTTCTGACTGCGGACGGTTGCTGCTGACGATGATGATGATGATGATTAGTTTTTGAACTTTTAAGTAATCGGACTTCCGTTTTACTTCGATCAATTTACGAAATGCTACATTTAGAAATTATAGTCTACAGCAGTTTCAATGCAGTTTACAAGTATTACCCACTCAGTTACACTCACACAGGTAGATATTGTGAGTAAACTGCAACGAGGAATGAGAATACATACTTACATGTAATAATAACTTCTCGGCGTGAGTAAGTTAAGTTATAAAACTAACAATCTAAATGGAACTAAATGGAAATCACATATCCAATTATTCAACTTATTAGCTTTTACCCGCGGCTTCACTCGCGTCACAAAAAGGTAAAAAGAAGCCTATGTGACTATCCATCCCTTCAACTACCTTCAGTTAAAAAATCACGTTAAGTACCTCCGTTTTGCCGTTTAAACTGTCAAACACCAAGCGGTCACCGGTGACCGCAACCTATTGTTCTATAATTGTGTCTACAAAACCGGTACTCGACGAGTTAAACTGTCAAAAACCGCGAGGACACCGGTGACCGCAACCTATTGTTCAAGTTAAGACAGGCAAACAAACAAATAGCTGTTCGCTCGCGTTCAATTCGGTTATATCGCGCTTTTTAGATTTTTCCGTGGGAATGAGAAGTTCTGCAAACTCAAACTCAAAAGCATTTATTTCAATTAAACCATAATTAGGTACTTTTGAAACGTCAACGCTTGAAATAAATAATAGTCTGTCAGTCTGTCCGTCAGTGAAGCTAGGCGCTCGTTCCAAAATGTCGATTCGAGTGGAGAAGAACGAGTAAGAAACTCCATTCGTTACTCTTTTGAAAGAAGTCTGTTTTACGCTGCTCTGCTACATATTATTGTACACACAATAGAGAATAATGTGAAGACATACCTGACGCATCATACAAATAACAGAACGTACTAAAATAAAAAAACAAAACCAACATGGTCCCACTGGTCCTCACATATGTATACTGACAATACTGACAATACAAGAAAAAAATAAATAAATAAACTCTTGTTTAAATAAAGAAAGAAATGCTCGATGCCACAAGAAAAATAGATTGCCTTCATCGGAATCAAAGTATTAAATTACCTATTATCGGAATCTGAACTAGGTACGACTACATTTGAGTATTGTCCAGTGGAGCCGAACCAACAAGCTGCCAAGCATTCCAAAAAAAAATTATTTTTTTTCTCTTTATTTATTTACAGGACTTTGATCTAAAGACATGTCAGTCCTATTGATACAAATCAAGAAACCCTTAAACTAGTTGACTTAAAATAATAATACAAGCAAAAGCAAAAAATTGACAATCAAATAACAAGACTCACTTATTACATAATAATAGAATTAAACTATACCATTAAAAGGAAACCGAACACAAAGGAATTCAACAAAATATTAGGTTGTTAGGGAATTACTAAAAATATTATACAGTTTTTTGGCTGCTTCCGAGTTGGGATTGGACAATATACTATGAAAGATACCGACATCTAGTCTATTTATTTTTAAATCCCTAAGCAAAGCTTCTATATAAATTCGATACCGTTTGCATTCCACCAAGCAGTGTTGGACGTCATCAATCGTGCCACAGACTTCACAATTAGGTGAATCATATTTTTTCATCATATATCCAAACTTCCTTGATAGCACGTGACCGGATCGCAAGCGTAAAGCCGTAACAACAGTTGTTCTGTCAAAATTACTATGACAAAACCAAGGGCAACGAGGAGGTTGACTTTGTACAATTTTATACCAAATGCCTTTTTCCTTCGACCTTTGGTCGAAATATTCTTTCCAAATTTCATAACAATGGTTTTTATATATGTTTAGTATTTCAGAATAGTAAGGTAAAATTTCAAAGTTATTGCCCTGTTGGGCTCCTAATTTTGCCAGTCGGTCTGCCTCCTCATTGCCCTGTATACCAACATGAGACGGGATCCACTGAAACTTAAAAATTATACGTTTACAAATTAAATTCTGGATTTTCTTCAACACTACATATGCCATAAGTAAACCTCTTTGTCCTGTTCTACATATTTTAATAATACAACATGTATTGCACTTTTGCTATCGGTTATAATAACCACTTTAGACAAACCTAAAAGGTCGACATAAGATAGTGCTTCCGATATCGCAATCAACTCCAATGTCATGATTGAAACAGGCTGAGTTATCTTAAAATATTTCTTAACATTCATAACAGGGTCGTAGAAAGCAGCTCCTAAACAATTGCTAGATTTAGATCCGTCTGTGTACAGTCTGCGCCAATGACGATAATTATTGTACAATTCTTTAATAACTTCAAGTCTTAAGGAGTTAACCTCATAAGTTCTTTTGGCATTAGTTACAGCTTGCAGTGTACATACAGTTAATCTATCAACATCTATGTAGCTGACCCATATATCTAATTTGAACATTTCTAATGGATAAGATGAACTAATACTATATTCTTTAATTTTTTTGTGGTATCCGGCCAATAACGGTTTTTTCTTTTTTTCCCAGAAACGATTTGAAGTTAAACTATCTATATAATAATATAATCAATCACTCTGTAGTAAGCTTGTTTACACAACTCGCGCTTAATATACTTCTCACGATAGTTATTATAACAACACACTCAGTGGTTGGCTCATACTCTAACAATTAGTCTTTCTTTCCAATGTAATCCAGATATCTTGTGGCATCGATCATTTCTTTTTGTTTTCATTTGAAAGACTTCATCAAGGATTTTTATTTGTATAGTATCATTATTTCATTTAACTGTACATGTGTGTGCACCATGTTTGAAACAATCATTCATAGCTCTTTATTTTATTTCAAGAGTTAAGGAGTCCCAGTTAAGGAGTACATTAGGTAAGGGATTAGATAATGTGAGACTGTAAAAAACATTTTTTTTTAAAAGAGTAACGATGGAGTTTCGCTCGTTCTTCTCCATTCGAAACTACACCAAAGAGTGTAACCACATAATAGTTAAGTATAACTACACTTTGGAACGAGCGCCTAGCTTTACAAACGGACAGACGGACAGACGGACGGACAATTCAATTTTTGACGTTAAAAAAACGCCTAATATGGATTAGGTAATTGAAATAAATGCTTTTGACTTTTATGATTTTATGAATGTTCAAACAAAACAATAAGCGCGGCCGGCTGTGGTCGAGCCGAGTATGAGCGGTATATTTGTTATTAATTAACAATAAATTAATATGTAAATCAGTAAATCCCGAAGTCTTAGTTGATAATTTTTAGAATTATCAAACAATAAAAACAATAATTTATATGTGTGTGCATATCACAAGTTTTGCAACCACACAGCTATATAAAAGATTCATCAACCGACTTCAAAAAATAGGAGGAGGTTCTCAATTCGAATGTATTGACGACGACGACGACGCCTGGACCAATTTCAAAAATTCTTTCTTATTTCAAAGGGTAGGCTTGTCATTTGGAACCGAGGGGAACTTTTAAAAATTATAGGGGCGACTAATGCATTTGGTAATCTTTTCATTAAGTATTTCACTACAATTTGATAAAGGTCTGGAGTCGATCTGATAATGGAGCCGAGAGCCAGTCGACGGAACTCCTCAACGGTTAACAGTACCTAGCTACCTTGCGTTTGGGTCTGATTAATTTCTATTGATGAGGACTTTACACCTAAGTGTGGTGTGGTTGCCAATGAGGGTCTAATGATGAAGTAGTACGATAGTTGAGGGAACTCCTGAGCGGTTATCAGTACCTACCTTGTGTTTGGGTTTAATAATTTGTATTGATAAAGACTTTACACCTAGATAGGATGTAATTGTCATTAAAGGTCCAATGATGAAGTAGTATGATAGCTGAGAGAACTCCTCAATGTTTAACAGTAGCTACCTGGTGTTTCAGTTTGAATAATTTGTATTGACTATAAACTAGTAGCACCGACTTCTACCTATCAGTGGGTGTGTAAGCTATAAGTACGTATGACCAATAATAGTTATTTTATCCTTTTGAGTTTTTACTTTTCGTTTGTTTTTAGTTTTTGAAGTTGGTTTTTTTAAACGCAGTTTTATATTTGTAATACATATTTACCTACCTTCTATTTGGGTCAATTCTCGTAACTCGAGTACACGGCATGTATGAATAAGTAAGTTCACCAAATTCTTAAATAACTATTGCTTTATTTTATTATAAATTATTATTAAAAATTCAATTATTAGTAACGGCTTATAAATATTGTTGACCACAGTATCATTACAATACCTGGTTATGCATGAGCAGGAGCGGAAGCGACCAAACAGTGAGATTCCCCGATTAAATGGGGTCAAGGTTGCGTGATGAGCCATTCTACAAGTAGTATTTGTGTGTATACCAATCGAATAATCCAATCTCATTTGTCTACTGCCCATCACACCGCCCATATTATGAGGCCAATAACCTCGACAACCACGCATAGTATATACCTCACCAACATCCGAATACCTCTTCATGCATCCTTTTGTATACATACCCATTCGGTGTACTGTTAGACCACGACTCCAGTGATATTCATATTCGCCGTACCACGAATAAGCCTTATACTTCCAATATCCATAATTTCGATAAGCCCAGTTGTAGTAACAGGCGGTTCGAAAATATCTCTTCTGTGTTCTATATTTCCAATTATTTGAATGGAACGCTGCATGACACAACTTGTGCCGTGGTGTGTGTCCGCGGCCGATGAAGCAATTGTAACAGTGAGCCGCCCACCAAGCATTTTTCCAAGCCCTCTCTTCGGGAGTATCCCATAATATACCCCTTCTGGTATTATTAAAACGTTGTTCTTTTTTATATATGCCAGAGCTTCCTTTCCTTTTCCTTGGGTTTAAGGGGTATTCCGGCACAAGTGATGGGTCTATTATCACAGTGGTACGTCCGTCATGGAAGTCGCTTAAAGGTCTCGTGATGTCATCATCATCGTTTTCGACCAACATTATCTGTCGCTCGTTGTCATTTTCATATTTACCATTTTTTTTATTTTGTTTCATTAAATAAGGCATCTCATGTCGGCGAAGTTGTGTCTTTCTCTGAATATTTAGAATATGCTCTAAGTCCGGTCGTTCCCTAATAAGTTCATTAAACGTGTCGTCATCGATATCGTCGAGTGAAGGTACGGGTTGAGGACCATTCTGCGATAAAAAAATCGATGGAATAGAACAATTTGTACCTTCTAAAGTAAATAGAAAAAATAAAATTGTAGAATAAAATCGAAACCAAAATAACGACATGTCAAAAACAAAATCAACGAATGACAGACAGACCAGAGCCGTCACACTTAGAGACATTGACAGCTTTAAAAATCGGACCGTCAGCTACATCTAGTTTTCGAACCTGAAATTAAATGTTGTCAAATCTTTTTTTTTTTGTTGTCAAAACTAATATTTTCAGTGGCCACACAGTTCCAACCAAGGTTGTAACATTATTTCAAAATTTAGGGTTAAAAATTTTTTTTTGGAAATAGTACAATAACATTATACACATTTATTTAATACTATATTGCAATTTTTACAAAATAATTCCTTAAACTTAGATCAAATGACAGTTATGCTGGCATAATCGTTCAAAGATGACGGCCTTTTTACTAATAAAGAGATTAAAAAGATATCAAGTGATGAATGACAAACTAAACTCTATGAAGTGACTGCGTCAGGTTTCTGCATCCAAAAGCATTAACCTAAGAGCCTGTGAACCCCAGGTCTAGGCCACCGTTTTTATTATATAAAAACTAATATTATATGAAAATACTCAATTTTCATAGAAAATCTATAAAATAGGTTGCACACATTCTTTCTGTCTCCCTATCACACACACACACACACACACA